GGGGAGTCTACTTGAGATTCTTGCCCTCTGCTCCTCCCCCACTTGCACCAGCTGTCTCTCTCTCTCTCAAAAAAAATAAATCTTAAAAAAAAAGGTTCCAATAAAAATCACAAATAATTAAATTTATTTTGATTATTAAATTTACTCATACTTTTAATAAATTTCTTGCTGTGGAAAGTCTAAGTTACTTAAAAAATGCTATTTCCCCAAATCTTAATATATCATTATTAAATCTTAATAAATTAAAATCCCCAGATCTTAATATATCATTATTAAATTAAATACCAACTGATATATCTTGTTTGCTAATCTTTAATAGAACCACAGTGAAACCAGCAGAGAAGTGTGCCAGATTTAATGGATGGTATATGATGTTAAGGCATATGATTTTAGAATGAGTCCATGTTGTTGATATTAACACATAAATTGATTATTCATCTGTACAATGGTTTTACTTTTCAAAAATAACATTTATACTTTAAGGCATGTTCAAAACAAACAATTTGATAAATTTAGTAAAGCACATTATAAGAAAAGTTAGTTTATCTTGAAAATGAATTATTATTATTATTATTATTTTTAAAGATTTTATTTATTTGACAGAGAGAGACACAGTGAGAGAGGGAACACAAGCAGGGGGAGCGGGAGAGGGAGAAGCAGGCTTCCCGCGGAGCAGGGAGCCCGAAGCGAGGCTCAGTCCCAGGAACCCTGGGATCATGACCCGAGCCGAAGGCAGACGCTTAATGACTGAGCCACCCAGGTGCGCTGAAAATGAATTATTTAATTGATGACACAGTTAAAAAAATGACAAGAAGTAAAGCAATGGGAAAAACTCAAGGACCTCACTTTCACCAATTTTTCTCCCTCTCCCTCCCCCCTCCCTCCCTCCCTCTCTCTTTCTTCCTCCCTCTCTCTGTTTCTCTCACACATACACACATATCACACACACACATACTCAGAACTACTTAGTGGAAACTTGATTAAAAGTGCAGAAGCGGGGGCACCTGGCTGACTCAGTTGGTAGAGCATCCAACTCTTGATCTCAGGGCCATGAATTCAAGCCCCATGTTGGGCATGGAGCCTACTTTAAAAAAAGAAAAAAATTGCTTAAGCAGAAGACCATGAAAATAATGCATCAGGACAGAGAGAGAGAACTATCAATGTATTATTGGAATATTATAGAATTTGATTTTAAAATTACTAAAAAATGATTCCATTAAATGGTTATTAATTTGGAGACCATTCAATTATAACAAAGTAGATTCCTTTCCTGCATAGGTAGATTAAAGAGAAATGCAGTGTGACAGAAGCAAACAAGATCAAGAAAAGCTCTTTTTTCCCTTTCTCAGTTTTGTAAATCCAGTTCAGAATCATTTCTATATGTTTAAGGAAATTCCCATCTTTTCTCTAGAGCTATAATTTCCAGGGAAACCATCTGGAGCCATCAGGGTACTGATGAGTTCTGAAAGTAAAAGTCCTATTAGTTACTCTTACATACATCATCAACAGCTCATTCACCTTTCACAGTAAACAGTTTGGTTAAAAACCAACTTTTGCAACACCCTTGAAATACAGGAGACCAATAGAGAAAATCAGATACACAAAGCTAAGTAGCCTTGCCATTGTTTTCCAGTGACTCCTTTATAGATTAGTCTCTGCTGTAAAACCTGAGGCAGAGGCCCTGAAAGAGACCGTAAGTACCAGAATTGCCTAAATTCTCATAATTCAGGCATTTCAAACTTTAGAAATTAATTTTAGTACTTTCTAACTGTGCATTTAATACTGTTTTGATAAGATATGTCCTGTCAAAGCACCCTTATCTTCTTGTTATTAGGACAATAATAAAATTACAGAGTCATATAGATCTATGCTAGAAGACATAGTGAATATTTTCCAGAAACATCTTGCATAATTACAGCTATAGAATTTCTATTCTTTTTACATACATTATATACCATTTCATCCCTGCCAGATATTACGGCATAGCAAATATAGGAATCCCTGCAATTAGATAATTTTAATTTGTGGAATATTTTATTAATTTCAAAAGGACAAGTAAATGAAACATCCCTCTCATTAGAGCTAAAAAAAAAATTAGGATTTGGTCATCTCTGGGAAAAATACAATACTCTACAGAGGTTGTGGTTTAAGAAACTAGAAGTTTCTCAGACTTCCCCCCCATTTTTATATTTGTCAAAATATCCTTAATGTCACATGCTTTAAAAAACTGATACTCCCTGTATTATTTGTCACCTGTTCATCTGCATGGCTTCCTGGCTAAACAAAACCTACTTCTCCATAGGTTATAATACAGCTTGTTCATGGGGGGGAGGGCCCAGCTTCGTGGGTGCTCTGTCCTGCAGGGTCGGGCCAAAAGAATGCCCCACAAACTTGTCTGATTATGGAATTTGGGCACTGGAGAGGTAACATGGGAACTTTCAATTTTGTGGTACTGAGACGTTCTAGGAACAATAAAAGCGACCATTTCTGGGTCTCCTCATTGTGTATATCCAACATGCTATATAGGCCATATTATATAATCCTCACAAGAACCCTGCAAGATAAATATTGCCATTCCCATCTGACAGATAAGTAAACTCAGAGAATTGAGTTTGACTAAACCCATGTGACTTAGCTAGAATCCAGATCTCACTCTCTGCCAAGGCCATTATTTACACCATTCTGTGTCGCCATTGTGACAGCCTTTCATTCTTCCAACAAACCCTTACTAGCGTTTACTCTATGCCTGATCTTGTACAAGGCAGTGTGCCTTGGCCTCACGAAGCTCAGTGTAGGGGGACATAAACAAATAACCTTCCAAATATACATTATCTTGTAGTGATAAAATAGAAAGAAAAACAAAACTAGGTTCATGGTATGACTGCTCTGTAGGTGCGCTGGCCAAAGAAGGCCTCTCTGAGGAGATACCATCTGAGAGAAGCCTTGGATGTGCAGATTCTTGAGGGAACCATGGAACGGCAGGGCTAAAGGCTAAAAGTGGGACCTTGGAAATGCCTTGATGTGACACCAGAGCTGAGGCATTCAGTCAAATGAATGTTTTCTGTTCAAACTGTTTTCTGTTAACTTACTTTCAATTAGATTATGTTCAACTGAATCACCTGCAGCCCCCTAGATTGCTCTCTAGAAACATCTTCCATATACTGTGTTCACTTCCCAAGAGGAACAATTCTTGTGAGCAGACAAAATCATCTGAAGAGGTCAAGCCTCAAGTTTCTATCCATGCCTGGCATTTTGCCAGTTTAGTCACGGTCGACTGAGTAAAACTCAACTCTCCATAGAACCATGGCCTTCCAGAACCTGGATGGATTCTAGGGTTCCCTCCGAGTTTTGCAGCTGCAGCTAGAAATCCAAGAAAGCAACATCAGGAGTGAGCTTGATCAAAGAACCTTCCAGAGAACAAGTAGTGAAGGAAGGTGCTGCCTTGTACCCAGGCTTTCATCCATTTATAGCAAGCTTCACATGCCTACAATGCGTGAGGAGGCAGCAGGTCGACTTTACAACTTTACACCCATGTTTTCTTGCTGAGTGAGGGCCCATGCCATTTGGGACCACATAAAGACCAGTAAAATGTGTCAGTTCTCCAGTTTGTGATCTAGTGAAGGAAATGGACAACACTCCTACAGTGATAAATGTCATATGAGTGGTACATGGTCTAAAGGAGTATGGAAGAACAAGAGATGGCTTTCAATTGGAGAGATGGAATCAAGTATGATGTAAAGTGTCTAGCAAAGTGCCTGGCACTTAGCAAACACTCAACAAATATTAGCTATTACTATTATCAGAATAGACTTCACATACGAATCAGAATTTAAGGCAAGGTAGGTCTGTCAGGCAAATTATAAGATGCCCCCAGTTAATAAGCATTTCTGATAAACAAAAATTTTTAGTATAAGTTATGTCCCAAACATTGCATGGGACATACTTAAATTAAAATGTATATGTTGTTTATCCAAAATTCAAATTTAACCGGGCATCCTGGTTTTTTGTTTGCTAGATCTGGCCAAGGAAAATTTTCATATGAAGATGAAGAGCAGGGAAAGTAAACTGGCATGTCCAAAGGCATAGACACAGGAAAGAAACGATATTTTTCATGGCACTTTATGTTCTCCAATAATTGTTAACACTCAATGAGTACTTACTATGTGGGAATCACCACTCTGAGGGCTTTACAAGGATTAACTCATTTATGCTTCATAAAAACATGTAGTTTGTCAAAAGCACAGAGTTGGGAAATGGTGTACCTAAGATTATGAACCTAAGATGCTTGGCTCCAGGGGCTACGTCTTAACTGTTTTGGATAGAGGAAAAGAATCTGTTCAAGGTAACGTATAGAAGGATTTCAGGGTCAGCCTATCACTACAGTCAATTTTTTAAAGATTTATTTATTTCTTTAAGAGTTTATTTATTTATTTATATAAGAAAGAGAGAGGGAGAGTGAGCAGGGGGCGGGGGGGGGCAGAGAGAGAGGGAGAAGCAGACTCTCTCCACTCAGCTGGGAGCCAGAAGCAGGGCTCGATCCCAGGACCCTGAGCCCACGACTTGAGCCAAAATCAAGAGTCCACCACTCGACCTACTGAGCCACCCAGGCACCCCCACCACAGTCATTTCTTAAAAGTCTGATCATCCAACCATAATTCCTACATGAAGTGAACTATCATTTGCCAGATCTCTGTTTGCAGGGGGCTGTTTCTAGCCTGCCTCAGCCCCTCTCCATATTGTCTCAAGTACTCAAGCAGAGGTCTGTCTTCCTATGTTTCCTTTTGCCTTTCTAAAGTCATCCTGTTCCTGGAATGTGAGATGGTCCTGGAATTGCTGCTACCTTTGCAACAGCTTATCAAAAGCACACAAACTTGGGGGAATTGAGCAAGAACTTCGGGGACACCAACCTTACAGAAGAAGCAGGGGTTGTAGAGCGCATATTGACTGTCTAAACAGGACAAAGATAATGATTAATCAAACCTCCTTGCAGATTTAAATGGGATGGGCGCTAGGAGTGGAGGCAGTCTTCCTCTCTTTCAGCTGGGGTGCTCCTTAAGAGCCAGCTCCACCCTGAGAAAAGATGTTTTCTGCGAAGATCTTTTGCCTGGTCCTGAGTGTGGTGGGCACAGTCTGGGTATGGTCACCTTTATTTTCTCTTCTTGCTTTCTCTCTGGTGTTTATTCTGCAAAGAGCTTGCAGGTCTGAGAGACTTACCTACGTCCTCACACACTGAGAGCTTTATAAGCTCTACGCCATGGAGGCAAGGTCCTAGATGAGCCTGACACCTCAAGAGTAAGGAGGAGACTTAGCTGGACTAAAGTATAGAAATTCACAGGGAAAGCTTCCGTGTCTATAATTCAGCCTTACAACATCATTTGTTTATTTGTGTTATGGGAAGAAGTCTTTGCCCTCTTTGTTCCAATAAAGCCTCGAGATAGTTCATGCTAGTTAACGGAACAAAGCATTCTTTTGCTAAGAATTTTAAAAATCTAATTATTAATTTATTGCTAGTTGTCCATAATATGCAGAACAGTGGTTTAATGTAGCTTTCCTGAAAGGTTGTTTTTGTGTGTTTTTTTTTTTCCCAAGAAAAGCAAATTTGTTGTTTTAAAACATATTACATAGGATATTTTATTACATATTACATAGTTAGGAGAGATTAATTGAGAAGGCAATATTCTTTTTGGGAAGCAATCTTTTAAAATAATTACTAAATATCGCAATGATTTCTGAAGTTTGACTCCAGAGACCTGTAGAAAAGAAGAGGAACTTAATTCAACAGGCCTTTGAAACACTTAGATCTTATAAAAACATGACAAATATGTTTAAGAAACTCAGTTACTTCCTGGGCTATGAATTATTCCAATTTATTTCTTTCCCTTCACCGCTCATAAAACCTACTACCAGAGCAAAAAAACTAAAGAGGGTTTCTAACTTAAATTTCTTTCTTATAGTAAACTTTAAGTAAAAAAAGTTTTACGGAAAATAAGACTAACATCATTTGCTAACGATATTTTGGATAATGCATAAGTTTTCAGTTATCTCTCTCTTATTGGCATAAATATTTAACTTTTGCCTGTTTTTATTGTTGTGCCATTTTATTCTGAAGTATGTTTGAATTTATAATTTTATTTCTTAAAGAGATTGTACTTGTTCTTTTAAATAAACTGTCCTTGACTGCTTGAATAATAATATTATTATTATTAGGGTACTTCTTAAAAAATGAGATAGCAAATATTAGCTAATTATAAGAATAAACTATCCAAGGGAGCTGGCTCAGTCCATAAAGCATGTGAATCTTGATCTCGGGGTCGTGAGTTCGAGCCCCACACTGGGCATAGAGATTACTAAAAAAAAAAAGACTAAACTATCTGAGATTAAAATAGTCATAGCAAAATCTTTGTAAGTTAGTAGTACAAAATAAAAATAACTAAAACTTAAAATCCATCTTGATTTATGAGGCTATAAAGTCTTGCTGGAAGAATATTTCTATGTCCTATTTCACTTCATAGGTCATGATAGAAATTTTTCTAAAAATCTATATTTCTAATTAGAAAGGTGTTCAAAAAAAGTTGTCAGTCATGGACCATTATTTTTGCTTTCAGTCTACTCTTTTGCATTGCAATTAAAAGGAAATTATTACGTGAGTGGGTAACCTAAAAGCATTTCCCAGTCTGATCTGGCCACATTTGTGCCCTTGGTATGTACCTGCTCAAATTACGAATCCATCAGATCAAAGTAGAAAGTTGAAGGAGAGAGAAATTAAGCTAAAATAGTGTAGGTTTTTTCCTACTGAAACAGAAATTATAAGGGAAAGAACTCTGAACTTTTCAATTACCTTTCTATCTCCAGACATTACTGAAAATGAAAATGTAAATTTTAACTAATTTTGTTGATTCAAATAATTTTCCGTACATAATACATTTTCCGTATTTAAAACTCCTAGCATTTATTAAATGCTTGTTTCACATCCAACAGTGTTAAAAAATGTATTAATACCCAGGGCGCCTGGGTGGCTCAGTCGTTAAGCGTCTGCCTTTGGCTCAGGTCATGATCCCAGGGTCCTGGGATCGAGCCCCGCATCGGGCTCCCTGCTCTGCGGGAAGCCAGTTTCTCCCTCTCCCCCTGCTTGTGATCCTGCTCTCACTGTGTCTCTCTCTATCAAATAAATAAATAAAATCTTTAAAAAAAAAATGTATTTACCCTATCTCCTTTAACTCGTACAACTCCATGAAATAGGTATTAGGATTTTCAGTCAAAATGTCAGAAAGCTTGCAGAGGCCCCAAAGCAGGTGCTCTTAATCTCTGGGAGAGCCCCACCCCCCCTTCCCTTGGGTTTGCAGGCATGCCTGTGTCTTCTTATCTGCGTAATGTTGTTCTCTTTTGTGTGTTCGAATGAATCTGTAAAGACCACAGATAACAAGGAAGGTGAATTTATAGCCGAAGGAGGAGGTGTGCGTGGCCCCAGGATCGTGGAAAGACAGCAATCTGCCTGCAAGGAGACAGACTGGCCCTTCTGTGCTGATGAAGACTGGGTGAGTGGTGGGCAGAGGGAGTGGGAGAATCCTTCCCTGTGGTGCTAGAATTGTGCACAGGATGACCCAGTAGGTCACAGAAAACTTTTCAGTTGGGAAATAATCTAATAACTCATTACATGCCAAATTCAAGAAGACAAATGGAAAGCAACCTCACCCTGAGAGCAGTATTTGAATTACCTCCCAAACTCTGGGTCATTAATGGGATTAACAGTTTGGATTTTAGTTGCATGTTCAGACAAATCCCAGGAACCTAAGTATTATGGCCTCAAGATTTTGTGGGGCCTAATTTATTATTTAGTGTACCCTCATTCCAGAATTTCTCTCTATGACCTCTGACTAGTCCTCTTAAACTACTTTTAAGTCAATAGATGATGTCAGCATATTGGGGGAGGGAGGGGAAAGGGGGGGTATTTTGAAATATAGCTGGGTGACGGGTATTAAAGAGGGCACGTATTGCATGGAGCACTGGGTGTTATACGCAAACAATGTACTGGATTGTACATTGTTCAAATGTACTTCAAAATTGTACTGGATCTAAGATATAGACCCTTAATATAATTTTTCCTCTTCACTTCCAGAACTACAAATGCCCTTCTGGCTGCAGGATGAAAGGGTTAATTGATGAAGTCAATCAAGATTTTACAAACAGAATAAATAAGCTCAAAAATTCATTATTTGATTATCAGAAGAACAATAAGGACTCTGGTTCATTGACAGGGAATGTAATGGAACTCGTGAGAGGGGATTTTGCCAGCACTAACAGTAAGCATCACATATTTGGTACTTTGACCTTATAGCACACAACAACGCAATAACAAAGGCCCCAGATAAATATGCTGCCTCCTTCTAGCAACTTCCAATTTTATTCCAAAGTACTTAAGATAGAAATGCATGCCTTCATGATATCCCTGAATGTTAAGGAGGGGCTTGCTTTTTATAAAAGTAACATTAAAAAGGTTAGCTTAGAATTGTTTAAAGTCACAAAGTAAGTCAGAATTTTGTATTGAAGACTAGAATTTAAATGTGTTCTTTTTTAAAGAGTATATGCTGAAAAGAAGATGAGCATAACTTTTTGTTATGTTTCTGTCTTACAGAGGAGGGAGGAAACTGAGGGATCAAGAGACTTACCCAAAGACACAAAGCTATCATGGGATGGAGCTGGGAGTCCAACTCCACCAAGCTGTTTATGTTTTGTTTTTTAATTTAAAATATAGAGCTATGTTCTACATTCTCATAGGACTATGACTAAGTCTCCTTAGGACAAGGAGACATTGGATTTGCTCTGGGCATGGGAAGCAAATTTAGCGAGGCCCTAGTTCCTGAAGCCTTGCTTTGACTCTTTATATCTTTTTTTTTATGTTATGTTAATCACCATACATTACATCACTAGTTTTTGATGTAGTGTTCCATGATTCATTGTTTGCGCATAACACCCAGTGCTCCATGCAGAACGCGCCCTCTTTAATACCCATCACCGGACTGACCCATCCCCCCATGCCCTTCCCCTCTAAAACCCTCAGTTTGTTTCTCGGAGTCCATAGTCTCTCATGGTTCATCTTGAAATTGTTCCTAAGATTTTTTTTTCCTTAGGTCAACAGGATCACTCACTTGCCATTACTGCTGCACTGTTGACTTTAAATTAGTTAAGTGTCTCCTAAAGATATAAAGAAGACTCTTGCTGACCTAAGGAAAAAAAAATCTTAGGAACAATTTCAAATCTATAGGTAGGAGGGAAAACTTCTCAGTAAGAAAATCCAAGAATATGTTTAAGTATGTTAGCATATTGTTAACATTATTTTTAAGTCCCTTGGTTAAAGATATGATGAAATAACTGAAATGTTATCAAATTTAATCTCCTAATTATACCTTTAAAATTCCAAAGACATTTCTTCTGCATTTATTTGGATTACTAATTGCTAGTAGAGCATCTTAACTGACAGCTATGGATGACTAAAGGACATGACATTGTTCAAATATCAAATGCCTAATAGATTTGGAACTGACAAATAAAATGTCCAAAGAACAAATTGTTATTAAAAGGGAAATGATATTTATAAGTAGATTTCCTTCTTTTGCTGGCTATGATAAGAAAAACACTTAGCAGCTCCTTCACTCTTGCTTTTTTCAGATAATGATAATACATATAGCCAAGTGTCAGAAGATCTGAGAAGCAAAATTGAAATCCTGAGGCGCAAAGTCATAGAACAAGTACAGCAAATCCGCCTTTTACAGAAAAATGTCAGGGATCAGCTGGTAGATATGAAACGACTGGAGGTAAGTGAGTGTTTGGCTCTAAGACCAGATTTTCTTGTTTTCGAATAGCAGGGAAAAGGAAGGCAATAGTCATTCACTGAAGACCTACTATATGTAGAGCTAAGTGTTATATCCATTATCCACCTACAAAGTAGGTATTATTTCCCCCACTCTACAAATGAAGAAAAAAAGTTCAATGATATTAAGCAAATTTTCCAAGGATACATAGTAAATTTCAAGAGCAAATATTAAGTCCCTGCTTGTCTTGTTCCAAAGCTCTGACACCACCATGCCTCTGGATCTTCAATCTCAGTCTCACTAAGGGTCAATTCATCAGTGTTTCCTTTCAGAAGGAATAGCATCTTACTGATATGTTTTAAGACTAAGATGAATCCAAATAGCTCCTATTGCTTCTCCAGGCTAACCGTACAATACCTAACATCTCTTCCACTGAGGGTGTGACATAAACGAATAATAGAGTATTGATTGGTAGGTATTAACCTTAAAGAAATGAATCCAGTTTCCAAAAAATAAATTAACTGCTTAGAAGTGAATAGGCATAATTTCTTTATTTATATCGACCTCTTTTCTTTCCCTTTCTCCCCCTCTCTTAGGTGGACATTGATATTAAGATCCGATCTTGCCAAGGTTCATGCAATAGGGCTTTAGAACGTAGGACAGATCTAAAGTACTATGAAGATCAGCAGAAGCAACTTGAACAAGTCATTGCCAAAGACTTACTTCCACCTAAAGATAGGCAGTACTTACCCCGGCTGAAAATGACCACATCTGTAAATACGCTTCCTGGGGACTTCAAGAGCCAGCTTCAGCAGGTCCCTTCAGAGTGGAGGGCACTCACGGAAATGCAACAGATGAAAATGACATTAGAGGGGTCTGGTAAAGATGGAAATACCCGAGGAGACACTGCATCTCATGGAACAGGATCAGTGCCTGAAAGCCCCAGGAACCCCGGGAGCTTCACACCGGGAAGTTCTGGCACTTGGAACCCTGGCAGCTCTGGACCCGGAAGTTCTGGCACTTGGAACCCTGGCAGCTCTGGACCCGGAAGTTCTGGCACTTG